GCATACGATCCTCCAAGTCATCGTTTCTGCTGCTGCTACTGCTGCTGCTGCCTTCATCTTCCTCATCTGAAGGCGCCTCCACCTCATCCATATCAAGCTCCATCGCATCCTCGTCGCGAAATACTACAGGACGACGGACGACGTCCAAATCCGTGGCGGCGGCGTCCATAGGCTTCGCACGCTGCAGTTCTCTTATATACTGCAGTCCCTCACCGGAGCGCTCAATCATCCCCTTCTCTGCGTCCTCCTGGATGTATATAGCGTCGTCGTCGTACATCACACCGCTCACATTGCAGTGAGGGGCATAAATACGTTTTTGTTTCATGCTAAGATGCCGCATCTTGTGCCCCTGTGAATTGCCACTGCCTTGGTGATCATCGATGGCACAGGGGTCCTCTTGTTGAGAGATGTGAGCAATAGGAAAATCTGCCAATCCAGGAATGTGTACAACTTGTTGCGGTTTCAACGGCTTTCCACGTGTGTACCCGTAGAAGGCAATCGTGCGGTTGCAGTTCTCATCCTCCACAATGTTCTGTGGGGCCGTAATGTCCTCATAGCGATCAATCAGTACACAGCTGTGGGTGTTCCGCCAGTTCTGTAACTTAGGCTCCACGCAAATGAGGAGTCGATGCAGCTTGAGAACGTCAGTGGAACGATACATGCCACGTACCATGGGTGCTAAACACATCAGCTTTGCCCCAGCTGCCACTTCATGCCAAAAACGATGTCGAAGAAACTTCTTTCGCTTCTTCAGTGCCTTGCCAGTCTTAAGCTGATCAAGATGAGAAACAACACCAAACATGCGGGGAAACCCGTGAACCTGAGAAATATTGAGAAACTCAAACGTTTCCATCTCAAAGCCAAAACTGCCGTCAACCATAAGCAAAATGAGATCCGCCACTTTGGCGATATCGCACATCGCCGTCAGTGTGTTCGGACACTCGATGAATGTCACACGACGACTACGACCCGCCACCACCGTGATGGGCCCCCGCACTGTCTGCACATTGCGGTTGCTGTAGAACTTCACCATGGAGCGGATCAATGTTGACTTGCCAACACCTGGTGGTCCCACCACAGCAACGAGCAGCGGGGGTTCCGCCACAATGTGTCGGAGGGTCTTATCCACTGTGGGTACATGCAGTGCCGTCTCGCGTTTTTCAAGGCTTCGAAGAATTTTTTGTCCCTTGCGACTTTCTGCTGTTGGACCCTGAAATGCCTTCCTGTTTTTGCCACGGTTGGGCTCAAGCTCGATGCCTGCCTTCTTCTTGCGAAATTCCTCCTTTTTGGCAGCCTTGCTACCAGCCTGCCGGCTCTTGTGGCTCTTGTTCCTCTGCTCCTTGTCACCGTCCATCGCACAGCCCACGTGCACCTGTGGCTTTGCTTCTCCTCCTCCTCTTTCTTCTTTTTTCTTTCCCCCTTGTGAGTTGTCGGCTGGATTCCCGTGCAATTTGCCCCCAAACCTCACCACCACGAGGGGTTTTGGTCCTACGTTTTCTAATAAAAGACACACACACACACACACACACACAAATAGAAAGAGAAAGAGAAAAAGAAAGGCGTTCAAAAAAACATCACTCGTCGTGTATATTTATTGGGCCATTCATTCGTCTTCTCAAGGAAAAAGATAGAAATACACGCACAGAGAGATCCGGAATAAACAAACAACAAAAAGAAGAAGAAAAAAAAAAGGAAAATAGAATCAGATTACTTTTTGTGGTCCTTACACATGGCCGATACTTATGGCCCTCCTTCTACGCCTGCGTGGCACACAACTGCACAAAGTCGTCATCAAAGAGAGAAGGTGGACTGCGATAACACATATGCCACAAGATATTCCGCAGTAAACCACGATTAAAAGGGTTCTTTTTGTTCGCGTAGCTATTTTGCAGGCGCTCACGTGTTGTCGTCTCCACCGCGAGGGAATACAAAATCGTTAGGCTGAGAAATCCCACCACAAGACCCAAACCCAACAACACCGCCATCAACAGCAAACCAATGCCAAGCTGCCGCGCGGTGAGGGAGTTTGCATCGAGAAAAAGCTTCAACAGCAGAGACAATCCGGGAAGCAGCGCCAAGAGAGCAGTATTAATAACAAAAAACAAAAAGACGCGTACGTTCCGACGCCCCACGCATACACCGATCACGGAGCAGTGATGATCGTGGTCATGGACACACAAGCCGCAGAGGTAACAGTGCGCCGCCCTCACAGGCCGATAAATTTCACACGTCGAGCACCACTTGCGCTCCTCTGGTTGCCCGTTCACCATCTCCCAGCGACTCTCCCGTTGTTTTGCCTCAATTTCTTTCAGAGTTAACTCACCCATATGACTGCCGTTGGTCTCCAGGTACGCAGGACGCACAAAGCCGGGGTCCGTGTACACACAACACACCAACAGAACCATGAATAACACCAAAAAAAAAGTCGTGTAGCGCTGCATGCACCACATCCATTCGTCATCAAGTGATTTGGTGTAAAATGTGATCATCAAGTAAAGAAGAATGGCAACGGTGAGTGGGGCAGAATATGAGACGGAGGTTTTTGTTACGGGTATATTCACCGGCCAAAAAAACAGTAGCCGCTTACGAAATATCCGCACGTGGCCTATTCTTGCAACCGGCTTGGTTCCAAACACAATGTACTCAATCACGTGCACCAAAGGGTAAAGAAACGAAAACCTCTCGGAAAGAGCTTGTATGCGGCGTGCTGAAAATGCCTGTCTTGCTTCCCCGCCCATGGTCGTTGGCATTTCTTTCTGTTGCTGCTCCGCAAAATCCGCAAGCACCATGGAGAGCTGCGTCGTGGCGGAGCCTCTACCCGACTCCTCCACCTCGGGTGAAAAAAAAAAGTCACCGTTGACGTGCTCGGCGAGTACACCCGTGTCGTTTGGAGGGAGAGGCACAGACGGGTTACGCAAGTCAATCACAGTGTGGCAGAAATGGCACTGAATGCCGTACACAGACCTGCTGAGACAGTCAAAGGTGACATTGTTGCTGCATACCGGGCAAATCACGCTATACACACGACCCACAACAGGGGCCCGTTCAACGCGTATGGGCCCCATCCACCGACACCCGCTCCTTCACTACACTACACCCCTGACACCTTGAGCGCTTCTCGAAAAGAAAGCAAAAAAAAAAAAAGATAGGGGAAATCAAAAGAAAAAAAAAAATGCACTTCTCGCGGCTATAAGAGGAACAAATAACACCAATTGGAAACAAGCAAAAGAAAACACGTAATGCTACACGTACATATATATATATATATATATATATATATATATACAACAAGAAAGAAAACTGGATCACTCAGAAAGGTGCCACATTTCAACTAGCATCGCCCCCTCTCTTTCTCTCCCACATTCGACTCAATACACACACACACACATACAAACAAAAAAAAAAGGCCCACGGCATCTGCCGCGGAGCAGACACAAATGCAATGCGTGCTCGTCAGTCACAGAGAAAGCATAACCCTTTTTTCGCCTTTCCACAAGCACACAACTCGCCGCGTGATGCGCGGTCCTTCTTACGCCCCGCTGCATGACGCTCAGCAGCCATCATACCTATAGCGGCCGGCACAAACTGTGCGCGACAGGACTGGCACACCACACCCTGAATAATATGAGCAGAGAACTCGCCTGCACCACAGCAAGGGCAAGCTACACTCGAGGATGCCAGAGTGGTAGCGGGTTTCCCAGCGCCAGATTGCTGCCGCCGATTTGTCTCGTGGCATGAAGTTGGTTCCCAATGATGGCCTGTCTCTTTTCCTGTCGGGTGGTTAACAGGCGCCATTTCCTCCTCGTCGTCTGAGATATTGAACTCTGCAAAAAGCTGCATTAGAGTTCGCCGGCTCGTACTCCGTTTTTCCTTCTGCACCGCCTTCCGTTCAGCGTTTCGCTTTTGGCTTGCATGCTCCTGTTCATCATCTCGCCGTGATGCCTGACGACCTCCGGCCTCGCCCACGTGTTCCTCATCGTCACTAGAAAGATTTAAAGCAGGGAGTGGCCTCGTTCTTTTTGCCGGCGGCTTCGTCCCGTGGCAACTCGTCGACACCGACGCATCGGGAGGCTCAGAACTATCCGGCGCCGCAAAAGCGCCAAAAACATCAGGGGGTAACGGTATCTCAAACAAACTATTTCCCGCAAAGGCATGTTGCCGTTGTTTTTGTTCTTCCTTACGAACTCCATGGAGTGTAGACTTGGCAAAAGCAAAAGATGGCGGTGGCGGTGGCGGTGGCGGTGGAGAAGAAGAAGGGCACGGTGGTGGGGAAGTTGGTCGCGTTTTTTTCTCGTCTGGTGCCTTTGATTGGAGCGACTCCAGCGTGGCCTCGAAGCTTTGCTGCAGGACCTGAAAAGCCTCATGTGCACGGGGGTGTCTGTTCTTGTCAGGGTGAAGACGCAGCGCCAGCGCCTTGTACACCCGCTTCAAAGCCGACTCCGCCGTCACACCGTCTGCGCCAAAAAGCCGCACCGGATTGCCGTTCGTGTGCATCACATAAAACACAAGTGCCTCGCCGGACAACTCACTCGGAGCTGTCATTTAAACCGCAGCGACAGCGTGGTCGCGCGGAGGTGGGAGAAAGTATTTGTGCGTGTGCCTTCACCGTCCCCACAGCGCCGCTGCTGTCGAACACTACAATTAAAACCCCTTTGGATTTCTTTGGCAAAACAAAGAAAGAAGAAAAAAGAAAAAAGAAGCAAAAAAAAAAGTCGGAGGAAAACAATAAATACAAGAAAAAAAAAAAATGCGACCACCAATGACCCGCGCCCCTTCCCGTCACTTCTCCTCAGAAGTGGAATTGTAACCTCAATCACGCCAAACTCACACCCCTCCCTTTAAAGGCATCTTTCGTTGTTGCATTTTATGTGACCGTTGCTTTCCATTCCTCTATGATGCCCATTTCGTCATTATTTTAATCGGGCAAACAAAACAGCCCCAATTGACCGCACCAAGCAGCAAAGGCATGCAGCACCCAACCTCGTCAATATGCAGACAAGGATGCGATGCTATTTCGCACCTCCTCTTTCATTCCATGTTATATCCGGCTGTTTTTTTTTTCTCGTCTTCCTCTTCTTGTTGCCTACCCCTGTGTTTCTAAGTGTGAAGGGACCATGGTGCATTCAGTACCGCACAACATTTACTTGTGTCGACTCGCGCTTCCGGATCTCCGCAACTGCCTGCATCAACCCGCCGTACGGCACAACGTACAAGATTGAAATTGGAATATCGTTCTCCGGCTGGCCGTCGTACTGCGGGCGACAGCGGTAGGCCAAAGTGGCGATGCGCTTGTCTCGGTATTCGTAAATAATTGAGTCCTCCTCACGCCAAAACAGATATCGGCACAAGTCAAACTCATCCGGCTGCGCTGCGTTCTGTCCACGCCTCTTCTTGGGCGGGGGATCCTGTCTTGCGTTCATTGGTGTTGGTGTCTTTAAAGGAGCATCCACCGCCCGCTGTATCTTAGACAGCATCGCAAACATGCACGGGAATATGGCCTGAACCGTCGACGGTGCGTCGTCACCGGCCTTGTTGCTCATGGAGCTTTTCGCGTTAAACGCGGTCTCAACGCGTTCCATCATGTCATGGATGATTTGAGACGTCAACTCCAGCGGAACATTGCGGACGTACTCGCCAACGAGCAGCACACACTTCGCCCTCCCTGTCGCGTCGTCGGTAGACTTCAACATTTCGGTTGGGAGAATACCCGGTGCGACGGTGCGCCAAACGTTTTCTCGCAGCGTACGAAGCAGCGATTCCAGCCGGGTGTCGTGCACCGCGTCCAAAACACTCGCCATGCCATAAATTTCCTCCTCCTCCTCCTCCTCTTCATCGTCGTCTTCGTCGTCGCCGATCTTCACAACACACGTGAAGGGGCTTTCGTGCAGCGCCGCACCCAATTCGTCGCGGTCCACCTCATTCATTTTATCCGGGCATAGCTGGTCAATGAGGTGCATGACAGCATTCACATCCCGCCGCATCTCAAACACGCCAAATTCCACGTTAATGAGACTGGCGTTATCTCCATCACCGTCGTCGTTGCTGCTGCCCATCATGACAGAAGAGCTGTCGTCCGCATCTTCCTTCGGCGTGCCGGCGGGGGAGGAGACATTCCCATCGTTCCCCATTTCACTGCTGTGAAACTCATCGCTGCCGCAACTCTCCTGTTCCGCAACCCCGTCGCCGTAGTCCTCAACGGCGAACGGTAACAAATTCTCCGGCTCACGGTGACGCTTTGGCATCACTTAATCGCCCTAAAAAAAAAAAAAAGCGGCAATTCCGCGGCCACCGTCACCCCCCTTTATTTTTTTCCCCCTGCGATATGATTGACAAGGCGTAGCAAACACCGGCACATACACACACACACACAGCAAGAGACGTAAAGGGAGAAAAAAGGAGAGGGGGAGGCAACATTGTATATAAACTGAAAAGGCTGAAAAATAATAACAATAATAATAATAAAAGAACTGTAACGGGGATGTGTACACAAGCTTTAATGGAAACTAAAAAAAGTTTTCCTCCTCTCACCTTTTCTTTCTAACTCTCATAGGCAAACAGGCGCATTCCATCGTAGTAGTCAACAGAAGGGGGAAGAAAAAAAAAAAAAAAAAAAGCCCCCATCTCTGCCCCATTCCCACTTACTGAGGCCACCGACGGTTCTGCAGGATGTTTACTCAAAGAAAAACAAAACAGAAAATAACAAATAAGCCCACGCAACAGACAATCACCGTCAATAATCACCACATCGCATCTAAAAATGCACCTGCACAGGGGAAAACAGCAAAATAAAGAGAGAGAAAGAGAGAAATAAAGAAAAAAAATAATAATAATAAAAGAGATGAAAACAAGCTGGGAGTAAAGGTGGTGAATATGTCCCTCGCAAAAAAAAAAAAAAATGGTTCTTTGCCTTCTTGTTGCTTTTCGGTTCTCCCCGTATCCCTCGCTTCATTCCTGTTTTGCATCCGCGCTCACTTTTGAGATTTCCCTCCAACACCCCTCCACATCTCTTTTTTTTTGTTTGTTTTTTTTTTTTTTTCCTTCCTCTTAATTATTCATCGTTCTTTATTTGTTCCTCCGCTCCCTCGCTCTGCTTACCGCCTCCCTCGCATCTCAGCACAACACTCGCACGTCGGAAACTACCAGTCGTCATCCATTCGCTTCCTCGCAAATGTGATGCTGCTCTTCGCCTCCACCCCCTGCGATGCCAACTGCGAAAGAATCTCACGTACCGTCTCGTCCGTCACGGGTGGCTGCAGCTTCCCCTGGCGCACCGACTGGATGATGTAACTCTCAACGGCCTGCGCCCGCTCCACCTTCACCTGTTCAATCCGCTTCAGCCGCTCGCGCCCCTCCGCCGTCACAAACGCACGCAAAAGACCCTCCCTCTGCTCATTCATCGCATCCACTCGATCCTGCTGCGCCTGTTGCTTCATAAGCATCTGCTGCGCCTGCTCCTCGCTGATTGGCACGCGCGACATGTGGTCAAAAAAAAACCTCTACTTCACAAAAAAAAAAAAAATTCCACTTAGACTTCCTTCACAACAGCAAAAAAAGTAATAACAATAATAATAAACATCATTCCCGCAGCGCACACACAGACAACAAAAATAAACAGAGCCTCCAAATAAAGCCGAAGCACGGAAAAATGTTCTCCAGGGCTGCTGGCCAGATCCCGAACTGATACGCACAAATAAAACAGGTCGGGAAAGAAGAGGGCCAGGGAGAGGCAGCGGCCTCGCCACATCCTCAATTTTTGTCCCAAGTATATCTATATATTCTGACAGGCACTCTCGTGCCACGGTGCGGTGTATTCGGATTGGAGACATTTATTACTTACGAAGTGGAACACTTTTGTCCCCTCCAGCCACAAGACCCCGCCGCAGGGTCGGAACCAAAGAGGGTGGATGGCAGAAATAAAAATAAAAATAAAATTCGTCTTGCCGCTATCGGTTCCGTGACTCCTTCCATCGGGGCCTTCCAAAGGACCATAAGATGGGAAAAGGATCACACGGAAATATTTTCTACGTTTTACCAGAACATATATTAAATTGGGCAGCCAGCCCTCTCGCTAGCATTCCTTCTCACAGGCACTGAAAAACACCAGCACCCCATCTACGCAGTGGCACGCACACGGAGTGAGGAGCGGGCACAGGAGAGAAAAGTATAAAAAATAGTCCGCGAATTGATCTCCTCCAGCACAGGACAAGGAAATCAAATGTAAACGCCTCGCACCCTCGTCATGCTGTTGCCATGGCGGCGACGGATGCATTCCGTGGCCCACGGCGAGTCCAGCGCGACTCCCCACTCCCACGATCATTCATCACTGACGAAAAGGAGGTGCCGAGTGTGTCTTTCGATCGCCTCCCACGCGGGGCAAGAAGGATCGGGTCGGGCGGGCCTCCGCACCAAGAAGCTGAGCAAAGAGGACACGGCTGGGCAGTTTTGTCGCCCACTCGTAGGGCCCGGCCATTCCCCCAAAGCCAAAAATAAATAATTATAATAATATACAGGAGAGTCCCGTCGGTGTGGAGCGCCGCAGCGAGCGCGCTCGTCCCCGCCCTCAGCACAGCAGTCACGGACACCCCCGCACCCATTGGGTCACGGCGACTTCCCAACGCCCTGCCCGCATCAGAAGTCGCACGTGGGTGCATGCGACGCTGGGACTCGTCTCCTCCCTCCAGATCACTTCGCCACCACGCGGTTGCGCAGAAATTCAATCCTCCAGCTCACAAATGTCCGTTAAGCCACGCATCGCAGGCACAAAAAAACAAATACACTCATTGTCCGTTTTTCAGAAGCGAGGAGAGGAGTGGCGCAACAGTTGCACGGTGCTATTGTTATCGCTGTGCTGCGTCTCGCGAGTGCGGGGTCGATAATCCAAGTGCACATCACGACCCTGCCGCACGCTGTTCGCGCATTTTCTTTTTTGGGGGGCTTTCGTTGCTTTTAAAAATGAATCTGATGCCCCGCACGCTGGCCACCATCGCAGTGCCGCCCGCCCCACAATCCACGCTGCCCGATAAATTTATTGGCGACAGAGCCCCGGAATCAGAGTCGCCGCGGCCGCTTCCTCGGAACCTCACCCTCGTCTCCTTCCGCACCCTCCGCGGATGTCGGGTCGTCCGCTAGAGGCGGGTCAACGACCGGTATTGGGTGGCTGCTGATGTTCGGGAAGGCGGTGCACACATCGGCGTATTGGGGGCACACAATGCTCCCACGCCAGGGACCCGATGGCGGCGTGACGGTCTCACCCTCCTGGCACTCGTGCCACGCATCGTCATCAAGGAACCGCACGCTCACTGTGCCGTCGCCGCATCGAGTGTCCACACAAACGTCGCCAATATATTTGTCGTCGAATTGAAGATCCTGCCCCTTCACGCACCGCGAATTCGGGCCAACGACACTGCCAGGCATTACTGAAGGATCGCCGTTGGTGCACCCACCATTAGAATACTCCTTGACATGCGGGCATCTGCTCATGTAGAAGTCATCACCGCCAAGTCGGGGATCAGCGAAGTACCAATACTCCTGTGGCAAGGCTTCCTCGTGCCTCATCAGGTCACAGAAGCCCAGAGACAGATGGTCGTATGTGCAGAAATCATAGACGTCAAACTGGCTGCAGAACAGATGAGGGTATTCGGTGATGCCGTCGGTCAAGCACTTCTTTTCCAGCAGCCCACAGCCAGAGTTGTTGCCCCACCACAACATCTCCGCCGCGCTGTGGTTTGCCACATAAAAACCCATGTCCTCGAATGCTGCAAGCGTCAGTGCCGAGTACAGCCCTACGCCCACATCACTAGTCATCATCTCGTCTCTCATGTTGCGTTTCTTCCAATGTGACAGTGCAGTTCCAGAACCACCCTCGTCCTCCAGCTCAATGCCCTCAAGTGTGGGGCAGTTGTGGTACTGACGCGCCATTGCCTTCGTCTTCGGCGTTGAAATCACCGACACCTTGGGCATCCCACGCACGTTCGGGACCTCGGAAATCATATGTAACATCAAAAACACTTCCCGTCCAAACCCAAGAGCATGCCCCAACTCGTGGGTTGCCACCCGCACGTTCCTGCTTGTCACCGCTACTTGCTTCGGGTCGAAGTTCACGGCGGCAACAACTGGACGGCCATCACCCAGCCGAACGCACGGAATCGCCCATGCGGTTGGACCAGAAGTCGAAAAAATATTGGCGTAGAGAATCATGTCGGCGCCAGCCACACCCACCGTGTGGTGCTTGTGTGGGATGGTGAAGTTATCGCACATCCCCAGGCTGGTATGCGGAATAACGATGGGACCCGTCACGGGCCTCACGGAGAGACGCTCCGCGTGCAGTTGAATGGCGGCGGGG